CCCCCGCTTTCTCCCCATCCTACTTCCTCCCTCCATTAGTACAAATTCCACGAACCAGCACACGAGAACTCCGACAGCCAAAGCCTCCCCGTCCCAGCTGCCAAATTCAAAGGCCCACCAGCCCACCACAGACCACTGACCGCTGACCACCTCCAGGGAAGCTGGCCCCACACAGGGTCCCCCAGTGGAGCCAGAGGAGGGCGCGGGCGGGTGCTTCCAATCCCGCCTTCCCCTCGCCTCTCCGCGGAGTCCCTGGGGCCCTGCTTTCCCTCCCAGCGGAGACGCATGTGTCACGTTTATGGCGTCCCACTTCCTGCCCGGAGATGCTATAGATCCCTCTTCACTCTGGTGCTCGCATTTAATTCACTCCATGAGAATCAATAAAAACTTTAAATAAAAAAAGGCAAAATCCAATTGCTGCTCATTTCCTGATCCAACCGGCAGCTCGTGTGTCACCTACCCTGGTTCGTGTTCTGGTGAGCAGGGAGTGGGAGGCTGAGATTTTCCTCGCACGACAAGGGGCCGGCTTCCCTTGTCCATCATCGGGGCCCGCTGGAGCTCAGCCCTGCAGGAAGGGGTGCCCGTCTCCCCACTCCTCCCTCCGTAGCGCCAGGCCAGGCTAGTCCCACCTAGTCACATGCCCTCCCTCAGGACCAGCCGCTTAACTTTGCAGGACAAAGCCGCCATGCCAAGGGGGCCCTGCCTCCGTGCCTGGCTCCAGCTTGGGTGCCAGGCCTGCTGTCCGTGTGCCAGACCCACCCGCCTGCTGTGTCTGGCGCCGTGCCCCAGCCCTGCTTCTGTTCTCTGTGCGCTTTAACAGAGTCCCTTGGGAATCAGCTCAGGGTGCTCCATTGGAAGCCAGCGGGGCACATTCAAGTAGCAGAGGGACACAGGAGCAGCGCAGCTCTCCCCAGAGAGCTCTGGATGGGGCTGGCTCTGGCTCATACGCACCTCCTCCTCCGGTGGCTACTTACGGTGTGAGCGTGGGCCTGGGGTATCTCTGCTCTTCCCCCGGTGTCCTGTGGCTTTGGCTGGTTCCACAGGTCCTTATATACCTCCCACCCTCCCTTTGGAACCCGTTAGCCTTTGGCCACACCTTTGGGGGCTCTGGGTGGGGGCGCCCAGATTCCTGAAGCTCATGGAAACCACAGGCAGGGCCTGCATGCCATGGGCTTCTGGGCTTTCCTGGAAGGCCTCTTCAGCTGGTAAGCGACATTCGGGGGCTGGCGGAAGCCAGCATGCCCAGAGAGCACTCTCCTGCCCACATGTGGCTCAGCTGCTGCTCCGAGGGTCCTTTCAACACAAGCCGTTTCTTTTTGGTCCCTTAAATAGATGCTGTTGTTGGGTGTCCCCAGGCCAGCTCTTTAGTAGTCTGATTCTCAGCCAGCTGTCAGAGTGCTGTATTCAAGAGAGAACTTTTTTTTATGGAGAGGTTTTTGCTATAGGGCGCGTGCACTCGCCAGAAAGACAGAGAGAGACAGAGAGACAGAAAGCAAGAAATCACCCCCCAGGGGGTATGGCCACGCTGCAATCCCTTCTCCTCCATTCTCCTCTTGGGATCTTGGGCACTCACACACACGCGCCCGGTGTGATTTTAAGCCACTGGATCTGGGACGCGAACCGTGGGAGTCTAGCGACATAGCCATTACGCTAGCTGCTGGTTCCAAGAGAATTTCTCTTTAGCCTTCTCCCCAAAGCCCCTCGCGGGAGAGCGAGCAGGAGTATGTGGCGGCATTTCAATCAATTAATGAGAAGAAAACGACCTGGCCCAGACCTCGGGCTGTGCGGGGCCAGGAAGGCACAGGTATGAGGAGGCATGAGAGGTCCGTGCGTCTGTAGTCCGACTCGGGGGCCAGGCACTGTCCAGGAGATGTCGTGTGGTGGTCCTGGGATTCAAGCAGTTGAGTTTAAAGACTCAGAGAGGGGAGGGGAAGGGGTCACTGGTCTTCCAGCCACTGCTGTCCCCAGAGCACAGACGCCTGAGTGTGCGTCCCAGTTAAACACCAGGATGCCAGGCAGCTGGTGCTCTTAACCCTCCGTTTTCCAGATGGGAAACAGCTAAAGCTCAGCTGGGACCCTGCTCTGCAGTCTGGGTCAGGCCTGGACGTGGCCAGGCACAGCAGGGGGTGGGGGTGTCCAGGGCTGTGTGGCACGCAGAGGCACCAGGAATGGCACAGGATGGGGTGTTAAAGGAGGACCTCTGTGTTGGCCGGGAGTGGCTCAAATGGGCCCAAGTGCAGGGGACCTTAGAAACCAAGCAGAAGGATTTATTATAATTACTTTTTTTTTTTTTTAAAGCCAAGGCCTTGCTGTGTCATGGTCCTCCTGCCTTGGCCTCCCAGCTGGGACCACAGGCACAGCCGCCACACTGGCTCTGCAGACGGGGTCTCGCTGTGCTGCCCGCCTCGAGCTCTTGGCTCCTGCGTCGGCCTCCCAAGGGGCTGTGCTACTGTGCCTGGCCTGTAGGTTAGACTGGGAATCGAACCTGGGACTCCCAGGGCGTCCCAGCCAGTGGAGCACAGCAGTGAATGTCACACGGCTGGGCCCTGAGCAGGATTCAGATGTGATGGTGGGGAGTCGGGGGTCTCGTGGTGCTTTGAAGGGGATGAGCTGCTAGAAGCAGCATGCCAGGAGGCCACGCACGGTGGGCTCAGGCAGGCGGCAGGGAGAGGCCGAGGTGGGGAGCGGTGGCGGTGCGAGGTCCCGAGGTCCGTGTGGGAGCAGCCACTTCCCTGGGTGGACCACATGAGCCAGTCATGCCTTCCAGCAAGGCCATCCCTTGCCATCCAGCAAGGCCAGCCTGCTCCTTGCCCAGGAGCCCCCACCGTGTCCGTCCTTCGGCCTGGTCTGGCTTCCCCCAAGAAAGGAGCACACCTTTGCAGTCCCAGCCCCACACAGAGGCCCTCTTCACCCCCCACTCGGCAAGGTTTCGTGGAAACAGACGGAGGCTCAGCGTCCTCGCTTCCTGCCAGCGGGGTCTGTGTGCACGGTGCTCCGCCCGGCTCTGAGCTCAGGCTCCTCCAGCACGCCGGGCCAGCAGACAGGACGTGTCTCCGAAGTTGACCTCAGCCCCAGAGGGATGAGAGCTCAGACTGCCCGAGTGGCACCGGGGCTTTTTGTTTATTTACGTACTTGTTTCGTATTTCTCTCTTAGACAGGGCCTGGCCTTGGTGCTCGGGCCAGCCTCCATCTCATGATCTCCCTGCCTCAGCCTCCCTGAGTCTCTGGAATTACAGCCCAACACTACGCCTGGCCTTTAGCTGGGACCGACCTTTTTTTTTTTTTTTTTTCTTTTTTTGGAGAGGTTTTTGCTATAGGGTACGTGCACTCACCAAAAAGACAGAGACAGAGAGACAGAAAGCGAGAAATCACCCCCCGGGGGTTTGGCCACGCCACGATCCCTTCTCCTCCATTCTCCTCTCCAGATCTTGGGCACGCACGCACATGCGCTCGGTGTGAGTTTAAGCCACCGGGTCCAGGACTCGAACCATGGTCGACTACGTGGGAGTCCAGCGACATAACTATTACGCCAACTGCTGGTCCCAAGATGGGACCAACCTTTGAACCCAGGACTCCCACGTGGTCCTAGCCTGCAGAACACAGCATTTTAGCACTGGGAGCTTCCAAGGGTAAGCCTCAAAAGGAGCTTTCAAGCTGAGGTCCCAGACCTTAAAGAAGGAAGGCCGCTCAAGGGTTGAGGCCACAGCCTGCCTGCCTCTCAGGCTCTGCC